TTCTGATGGGTACCTGATTTGGTGTTATAAACTGTTCTTTAAACCATGTAGAACGTAAGGCTGGACTAAAGCTTTGAGAGCTGCAGGGCAAACCTTTTTCATTTGTGCATTTGGGAAATATGGAGCTACTTTTTATATGCTTCAGTATCATCTGGATGGGTAATAATCACATCAAATTATTTTTACTATTCAATGGACCTTGTACTGAATGTGCTTTTTTTATATTTTTGGTCTTGTTCTCTATGTAGTTGTCTTTGGCACGTATCTCATGACTGTAATTGCAATATTATCATGGTTGAGTTTCTCAGTTTAGGATTCCGTAAAACAGTGAAAACATCTTTTCATGAACTATTATGACTTAAATTGGACTGGGCTCTTATTATTATTTATTATTTTAATTGTTTAATCCCTACACTTTACAGCTTACAGTTAGTTGCATTTAAAACCTGGAGCCATATTGGTCATGTGTATCCCTTGTCAGGTTGATTATAAGAGATGTTTTGGGTGGAGATATTCAGTTTGACTTCTACCACCGATGGTTTGATGCAATTTTTGTAGCCAGTGCTTTCCTTTCTTTGCTTTTGCTTTCTGCACATTATACATCTCGCCAGGCTGACAAACACCCCATTGAAATAAACAAATCACTTTATTTCAGTCATCGTCACTTTTAATCCCTTTCAGTGAGTGCAACAACATAGAATTTTATTTGTGCCAAAAGTAACATATTTTAGTGTGGAAAAGAGTAATGGTACTTCTTGCGGACTTATTTTATACTGAATGCATCTTATTGCGCTGTTTTCCTTGTTTTAGATTTGCCACAACGAAGCATTAGTGTACAATTTCAATTCAGTTTCCAGCCTAAAAACTGGTTCCAATTTGTATGAATCCAACACTATTCATACCATGTGATGCCTCTTCATTCCTTTTATATGTGATTCATATTTTCACTTTTTCATTTTTTTTTAAAAATTGAATTGATATTCATATGCATGGAATTAAGTCTGTTATTATTGCTCATTATTTTAAACTGAGTAATTGTTGTCTCTTATCTTTTAATGCTTAAACTGGTGGCTCATCTTGAAGGACAGCTGTCTCTAAGATCCCATGAATCTTGTATGTTAAAACATTATCGTTCTGTGATCATTAAGATTGGCTTGGAATGTTTCTTTTTACCCCTCAAAGCAGCTAACCTGAGCTCACCTAAGATGTAGACCAGTAACTTAATGACAACAATATCAGTTGGACAGCCATGATTCCTAAAAACAGCATTACTCTCCCTCAAAAGTTCCTGAAAACACCACAAATGTCTAATCCTATTTAGGAGATCAAACCTTTAGTTGACATTTTGAAATTGAAATTTTAGGTATATATTGATTATGTCTATATGTTAAAAAATAATGTCGCAATGTTAATTTACATTAATATAAATAAATACTAATAAGAGTTTTATTCCCCTCAAAATATATGTACTGTATAATTTTGAATTGATTTGGAACTCGTATAAAAGCAGAAGATTCTTAAAATATTTCCTATTGTTTATTGAAGAAAAAAATTAAAAATAATTTTAGGTTTTTTTTGGTGGTGAAGGTGATGATATCTAATGATTTTGTCCTGAATGAAATATTATTTTTTGGTCAAAATAGCCCGGCAGGAGTAAGACAGGTCTCACTGGATTATGGTGGCACCAAATGCAAAATACCAATAGAAGGTTGAAGCGTATTGGTTTTGCCCCCAAACTATTACATGCCATTTGATATCATCACCAGTACCGGTACATTATTGACAACTACGAGGATAATGTCAAAATGCTATTGGATTTAATGTTCAGTAGCTGGTGATTCCCTTGCATAACATCCAAATGCTATTGGAATCCATTAGCACGTTTATGTCCTATTAGTTGATCAATTATTCAGAATCATAATTATTAATATCATATCGGCATCGATAGTATCGGTCTCTATATGCTAAATTTTCATAGAACCATTACATACATCCCTATATTTTCCAGTTTGCTTAGTATGCTGGTCTTTTATTGATTATATTCGATCATACCAACCTGTTTTGGGTTGTACCCATTGAAATATTAAGTTTAGCTCAGCAGAAGATAACTTTACTGTTACGTGTTTTTTCCAATCCAATTCCACAGATGACATAAAGTAGATTGCAACCGATATATCCCATCAAAAACCACAATCATGGTTTGTTTACTCCTCAACTAATCACATTTGCTGGCTGTTGCATGGTTTTAGTGCTTTTTGCAAGTGATTTTTGTATCTTCTTTTGTCCCCTTTCATTTCAGGAAGATGAACCAAAGCCACTAATTTGCAGATTGCAAATTACTTGTGTAACAAAACTTTGTAAATCCCTTAAGAGACTGGATTTGTCAACATCACCAATTAATCGATTGCAGGCCTGTTAACGGCCTGGATGTTGGCAGATAGGCAGCTTGTAGAGGTGTGTGGTGGTCGACCATTTGGGCTGCAATCCTTAGTTGGCAATGCTAATTTCTCGCATGTGAAAGGCCATTGAAATGAAGGTTTGGAAGTTGTAGCGTTTTCCCAGGGGAGAGATGGGACTGTCCCTCCTGATATAAGTTTAGAGATTTGCAAGTTCTACAACTACATAGGCTGTATTCTCTTCATGTTTTATGTTACAGCTAAAAGGAATTGTAGAAGGTAAAATGGCACGCAAAATGTGGCTTGAAGTAACAGATCAGAAACACAATGGGAAACCATAATTTTGCATGATTTAGACAATTTTTCCCATATTGTTTTGGATTTAGTGACTTGGCCAGAAAATGTGGTGTTAGCTTTTATAAACAATTTCTGGAGCTTTTACGTCTAAAATTTCATTGCAAAAGTTAGCTCCAATGGTCGGGTTGGGTGGAGATTAAGATAAATGTTTTTACGAAATTATTATGTTTTTCCATTTTTTACGGTCAGAAGAATAAACTATTCCTCCCTTTATTTCCTTTAAAAATAAATTATCATAACTAAAGTTGAAGTATATTTATACAAATTTGTGATGAATAAATAGGATTGTCTGATGATAGTTGACTGTCTTAAAATGAAAATAAAAATAAAAATTAAGGTATTTTTAATTTTTACAGTCTTATAATTAATTTTAATTTTATCATTAAAATATTTAATCTCATGTAATATTTACTGTTATTAATGTTTTCATTATTACGGAAGCTAATCTTACCATGCCTACACTATTTTTTAGGAATGCTCGTTGCATAATGTGTCATATGCATACACTGCTATGATTAATTTACTTCAAAGGGGGGGGGGGGGGGGTGGTCGTCCCTTGTGAACTGAGGTAGCTATTATTTGGATCATCACTACTTTCACATCAGAGTGAGAGCCACTGTTTGTTCTTTGTCCTTCGGCCTTTTTTGTTTCCACTGAAAAATTAAAAGCAAGTCGCTAGAAAATTTTTCTCCCCCTAAAATTCATAGGGAAGGCAAGGACGGGAGAGGCTTATAGATCAGGTAATAATGAAAATCATGTTACTGCAAAAAAAAAAAAACAACCAATTATATGCCATCACACCCCCTCCCTACACCCTAGCTTGAGAAAACCAAGCCTCATCCATGGAGAAGCCTAGCAGCAGCCGTAATAAGTTTCGAATTAAGAACCCGATACGACATACGAGGGTGAGAAAAAAAATTTAAAAGTTAATTTGAAATTATAGTGTTTTGTTTGATTTGAATTAATTTTGTTAAATTAAAAAATTAAAAATAAAAAATTAAATTGAATTAAATTGTATATATTTTTAATTTATAATATTTTAAAATTTTATAAAATAAATTAATAATTTGATATCAAAATTTATTTAAATATATTAAAATTTTTTATTAAAATAATATAAAAAAAATTAAAAAAAATAATTCAAATTAAATTCATAAAATTTAATTTGATTTGAATTAAATAAAAATTTAATTTAAATTTTAAATCAAATTTTAAAATTTTATAATATTTAAAAAAATCAAATCAAATTCAATTTAAATCATTATCGTCCTATCCTCCACATCAAATTCAACTTAATTGTTGGATATGTATTTGTTTAGGCAATGAAAAACTAAACCTGATTCATGTGTTCACAAGGCTCTATAAAATATACCCTTCTCAAAAACTAACCCCTCCATATTATCGAATGCTGTGAAAAATTCACGATGATTGTGCTAGAGGGGCCAAAAAATTTTAAAAAAAACACATACACACACGTACCAAACAAGTCTGACAAAAAAATTCACCCTTAACACTTCATTTCATAATAAGGAAAAATTTTCAATCCAAAGATTTAACAATAAAACATCAAATGTGATCATAAATCCCTATTATTAGATTAAATAAAATTTCTTCCTTTCCTGTTTCCGGTCTTCCGTTTTCATCGCTCATATTCATCACAATCTTAGAGTTGCATGGAAATATGAACAAAGTTAACCGGTTCAAAATCCAAAATTTAATCTAATTAATATATGTAATCACCTTAAAAAAAAATATTTCGACACTTTGAAATCCTTTTTTTATTTTCCAATTACAACCTAAAGAAAAAAATAAAATCAACCTATTCAGATTTTGGACTTGGGCCCCTCTAGTTTTTCACATTAAATAATTCAAGATTTATCCTACCTTTAGCTCTAGCTAAACCCACTTACTATCCGTAGCCTCCATGTGACCTCCTCCGGCCCCTTATTATAGCAATAACACATCCAATGTCCCCCTAACTCTCTTTATATCTTTTTAGTACAATGAATTACCTCTCCTCCAATGACCCTCAAAGAGAAATAGCCTCCTTCCAATAACAACTCCATCTGCCTCATCCTAACCTAGCCTCCTTCCATTGAAACTTATCCCTGCTTCACATTGAAATATCCTACCTATATCCAACTCAAAGACAACTCTCATAATCATCCACAATTTGAAAGGACATACTTTAATGCAATGCAATGAAGATAAGAGCAATGTATTAAAGCAGTATCTACCTTCAGGTTATTTGAATCCAGAACGAAGAATTATACTGTAACATTCAAAGAAATGAATTCAATGCAAAAGTAGAAGAGAAATGGCAACAGTCAAAGCTTTCAGTAATGTGATGTAAACAATCAGTTGCCAACTTTCGGAAATTGATTTAAGGTCAATTATTCTTCTGAAGAAGCATAAATGAGGTACAAAAACAACAAGAACAAATTAATGACACTGAGAATATAGAAACCATAACTGATAAAGGCTCGCTGGTCTTCCAGCAGTCGATGTTTGCACCAAAGATCTGTGGCAAATCATTAACAACCCATTACTGCACAATTGTACACAAAAGCGCCTGCTCGATCCTTGACAGCAAGCACATTCCACTCTGGTTCATACCTGTTTCCCTCCTCTGGATCCCAAGAGTGCAGAACAATTACTCTATCATCACGCCCTCCATGTCCTCCAGCTCCTACTACTAGTAAACTGTTACCACATGCTTTAAATGCTAGTCCCCAACCATTGGAAGAGTCAGCCCTAACAGGTAGTCTCTTCACAACACTCCAAGAGTTATTAAACTTGTCATATTTCTTCACTTCATTAGTTGCTTGATCTGCAGAGTAAAGCTGATTATTCACAACAGCAACTAAGGGAGGTGAACGCATGGCAGGATGAAATGGACCTGCATTGGGTCCAGGGTACATATTTTCTATCCTCCTCCATGACCTTGTCTCAATATTGTACTCTTCACCACAAGTCAAACTATCAGTATGACTTGACATGCCCCCAATGACAAAAAATTTCCCATCCATAAAAAAGCCCGAACACAGTTTACGAGGGGAGTTCATATCTGGCAAGGTTTGCCAAGTACCCAGTTCGGAATTGTAGAGCTCAGCAGATTTTAGAACATTGCCATTCCTATCACTTCCCCCAGCTACAATGGCAATCTCCCCATGGCTGCTAGAACCAAACAAACATCGAGGCAAAGTCATTAACGGGCATCTGGACCAATCATGGGTAATCAAACTATACATCCAAATAGCAAATCCAGACAACTCACGACCAAACACAAGTAATGCAGTCCCCACTGCCAAAGACTCCTTATCAGCACAAGTAAAACAATCATCACATGGAATCCTAGGTAGCCTCATCCATTTCTGTCTCATAGGATCAAAAGCTTCCCAAGGCATCATATTACAGGCTAAATAAACCCAGTGCTCAATTTTGCCACGCTGACATCTCAGTTTATATAAATATCCACTGCCTATTAGTGACCTAAATTTTCTGTTTAAACAGGCCAGATTTGGGTAATCAGATCTGCTGCTCCAGGCAAGAATGTCCAGTGCCATGTCATCATTAAGACCTGGTAGGAGACTGTTATCTGATGCTTGTCCATCATGATTTTCTCCAGAACTTGTCACAATTATAGGTCTCTTTCCATTTAGTCCTATATAGCCAAAAGTTAAAGCATGCACTTCCTTGTCCATTAAACCTTGCCCAACACCTTTCTTATTAGTTTTATTAGCCAAGAGAATAAATGCCAATAGACACCATTCATCTTGCGAGACTCTCAGACAGTGAGTAAAAGACAGTGGAGGCTGCAACAAGACATGACCTTGCAAACCAGCAATTACTGGTGATTCATGTTCTGGCCGTTCTACTTTCATCTTTGACTCCTTAAGTGAATCTCTGAACACCATTTGATAGAATATGCAGTACACAAAACTATTCCCTGAGAAAGGGAAAAAATTTTGATTAATAAAAAGTGACAATTACAAAATATAATCAATTATAAGAATATTTTATCAAAATTTCCCTTTACTATCCATCCTTTTATCCTACCAAAGGATAGGCTTTCTTCAAGTCTATCCATGTTTGACTTTAAACCAAGGTTTTCCCTTCTTAGAAGGGAACAGCACTGGCAGCTAATCGCAAATAGCCTTGATACAGCCAATTTGCTTCTAAATTTTGCTTGTCACTAGTCAAATTAATGAAAACAATATTATTTTCCCAAAAGCACGTAAATGTTAAATAAATTGACAATGCATCACTTCATCATCTTCCTATGGTCAAATTAACAACACTAAACTCATACAAGGATCAAGCCTGAGCTTGGATCCTCATTGATTTGAGTATGACCCAGGAAAAACAAAGATGAATACATGAGTTATAAAATCTGCATGAAAGAAACATATACACAATCTATGCAATATTGCATAATACAGATTCAAATCAAAGCTCCAGCCTTTTTTCATCATTAATGTCCCTTTTTTATTCAAAAGGAGCAGGAGGAACATATGAATAACAACTTCGAAATAACTTCTTCGTAATCAGAAACAACTATCATCTTTCCACCTAGAGATACTGGTTATTAGTCATTCCCCGCTCCCAGACATAACCAGTTCTTCAATCCTAGGATGAACCGATCCCATGAACAAAATTTTGTGCAAAACTCAAACTTTAATAGTAAAGGACTGTTTAAATTTATTAGACACTTAATGTGAAAGATAAGTCGATTCACAAAAAGATGATCAGTAGCATTCTAGCCAAATTTGCATGGCTTTGCATCCCAGACCAAATCACCCTAATATCATATAACTAGAACCAATTGATAACCTTCCAAATTGAAATTAATCATCAACACAACTTTCTACGATTTAGGAAAATATAACTAGCACTGCTAATTGAAAGGGGAAAAAATCACAGAACTCAGCAGGTTTGGTTACATCCCTGGCACATTTTAAAGTAAAAGTTGGAAGGTTTGGATGTAGGAGTTGGCTGGAGGGGCTTATCCATATTTTCTAATTGATTAAACAATTTTTTTCTGCAGATATAATTATGATGGAATCATTATCAAAGGTTGAATCTGAATAAAGTAAAATAACATTTTAAAACATCACTGACTTTTTTGTGTCTTGATCCGCCATTCATCTCAATACATCTTCTACCGTAGTTGTTTTTAAAATAAAGAATTTTTTTTCCCAAGTCAAGATCAAGAAATTTTCAAGTTCTCTTATCAGGTAAAACTTATGTAAAGTCATTAAATTTGGCTAAAAGTTAAATTTATTAAACAGTTTCCCCAATAATAAGCTAAAGTCATTAAGGATTAAAAAAACAATTACAACTTATCAAACGTAAAGTAAGGTCTATTGCACTAGCCTTAGATGATCTCGTATTTTTGACTTGATGATTTTCTAATCAAGAACCAAATGAAATTGACCAACAAAAATTTACCTATCACTTTTGCTAAAATCATACCAAGTCATTGAACTTTTTTTTTTTTTCAAGTACACTAGAACTGGAATTTAAAACTTCCAAAACAGATTTATATGTTTGCCACGTGACCATCTAATTATAAATGTTAACTTGCAATTCGATGTTGATTTCTTTATTTAGAGTCAAAATGGATAGATGAAAAACTTTTAGCACCACTTGTAGTAGAGATTTTAAAATTTTTTTAGCACACACAATGGGACGTACCCTTCTCTCATTCCATCCCAAAATTTGAACTCGCGACCTTGCACACGAGGTCTAAGTTCTAGACATGGGGATGACAACGCTATGGATAGGAGATATGGTTACTTATGATCGTTATCAGCTAAAATTTAGTAATGTTTTGAAAAAAAGGTAATTACTGCTATAACTTTTCATTTGTTCTTGTTTTCGACATTAATTCATCAATAACCCAACATTCGATTTTAATTACAATAAACTGATAAAATCTAATAATATATATAGCTCTGGAAAAATAAAAACAATATCATATTAGAAACAAACAGAGCCCTGCAGATTTCAACTAAAAAGAAAAGGAAGCAATATTTTTAAGAAAAAAAGAAAATGAAATTAATTCAACAATTGAAGCTAAAATCTCAGCAAATCTCAACATGCAACAAATTAAGATTTAGGGGTAAAAAAACAAGAAGGAAGAAGAAGAAGAAGAAGTCATCAGTCATCACCTTTGAGTTGATCAAAATCCGACCCGATTCTTTCGCTCCCGGAAATTTCGGCAACACACAATCTCTGACGAAGATTTCAAAACCCAAAAAAAAAAAAGAAAAAGAAAAACCCTAATTCACATTACTCTAAAGCTTCGATTATCGCAAATTTCCCCAATCTCTCTCTCTCTCTCTCGCTCTCTCTTTTCTCTCTCACCCTTTTTTTAAGCTTTCCGTTTCTGCATGATAGGAATCTCATTCTCATCCATATATCTATATATATAAAAAATGATATTATTTATTTATTACTATTGTTTTTTTATAAATATAAATATGTGAAGAGGATTTTTATCATCTTTCACTCTCTCCAAAAAACTTAGGGAGAAAGAAAAAATTAGGAAGTTATTTTTAAAAAAATAAAAAATCTTTTCCGTTTTTTTAAAGGCGATGGAAACAGAGACTCTATCAACAGTTTCTAACGCCTATAGGTTGCCTTTTCCCTTTTTTTTTTTTAATAAAAAAATGTATTTATTTTGTTTTTTTCTCCTTTACGTGTTTCACCGCATTTTTTTTTCTTTTGCACTCCGTAAAATTTTCTTCTTCTTCTTTGTTTTTATTCTTCTTTAACTTCACTCTTTTTTAAGTTTTTTTTTTTTTTTGACTAGTCAACTTCGTTTTTCTTTCTTTTTCGCCTAAACGCTTACTTGCTGCTTGTGTTTGTACACGTGCTTGTTGCTTTTCTAGTTTCCTTCTTTACTTCACCATTTCCCTCAACTTTTTTTTTGTTTCCTTTTCTTCTTTCTGTTATCCTTTCCAAATTAAATATGTTTGTTTTTCATAAAAAATACTTGAAGCTTTTGTTTTTTTTTTTTTTCTGATAATTCTCACTATACCAAGCCAATGGATCAAAACTCGTGTATTAGCATAAAATGTGTAATTAAGTGAGGGTTTAAATTTCACTACACTTTCATATAAGTGAACTCATTGCACATTAATTAAATTTAAATGTCAATTTAAAATTTATTTAGTATAAATTTTTTTATAAAATTTTTTTAAATCATATAATAAAATTTTTTAATCGTAATTATAATAATAATTATTATTATTTTTAATTTTATCGTCCATTCAAATGAATCTTAAATTATATTAGTTAATAGTTAATTAGAGTTATCTTTAATCCAGTGTTTTATCCTCTCTCATGATTCAATTATTGAGTAATCTTATTTAAATAAAATAAAATTGAAATATATCAAATGTTTGTATGAACCATTTCAGCATACAACATAGTTATTTGATCAATTCTAATATTTTGAATTTGTTATTATCAAACAAAAAGTTAATTTTTTTATCAAAAGGAGTTTGATGATTATCCAATTAAAATGATGGTAAGATGGTTAAATTTTTCACCGTATCTTCAAAGCTGTTGGCGGGTTATGATTTAGTATAACCTTATGAATGCGTCTCTTAAGATAATTTATAGCTTGACAAATTGATGGTTTAAAAGAATTTGTTTAAAGAAACTCAAATTTAATCTTTGAGATTTTTATTTGATTAAATTTGCCTAATAACAATAATGAACTACGGATCCGGAATTTATACTCAACGAGAGTAAATTTATTACATTAACTATCAATAATATTGATATAATAATTTTATATTTACATTGTGAATCATTATTTTATTTAAAATTTTTTTAATATAGTCATATACCTTTCAATATTATAAAAGACTCACTTAAATATCTCTTTTACAATTAATAAGGTCTAAAACCAAAAAAAAAGAAAAGAAATTTCAGATTTATTTCTAATAATTTTACTTACTTTTTTTATATTTTAATGGAGACAAAATATAAAAATTATTAAAATTTCAGATAAGTTACTAATAAATAAAATTAAAATTTTAGATTCCAGTGGAGATAGTTGCTCCCATTGCCCCAATCCTGAACCGTCCCTGACTACTTATAAGCCAATCAAATTTAAAGTGATAATAACAAATAAAGATGTTGTAGCTATGGTAACTTGAGATCAAAGAAAAAAAAAACTCAAATTCTTTTTCTTTTGCTCTAAAATCTTTGAACGTCTTGATTTTTGACAAAATTATTCATGTTTTTAGGTTTTATCAAATTCATGATTTTATCTCGTGGATATACAATAATCAGACACTAACCTTCGACTAAGAATAATTCTAAAAATAAGGTTTTACAAATTAAGTCATGAGAACATAGGGTTAACTCCTTAAACATGTATAAAACTTTATTTGTTTAATATTTGAATGGTTTTGAATATAAATAATATTTGAAGTGTTTTTGGGCACTATTATTATACATTTTATTTATTAATTTTATATAAGATTTGTAAAAATTCATTTGTATCTGGGGTCAATTGTTGTTATTATTTTTTTTCTTTTTTTTTTCTTAATATGTTATAATAAATAAGGAAATTGAAGGGAGAGGGAATCATATCAATTCCCTGAAATCAAGCAATAAATTCGCATAAAACCAGGAACCGAATCGAAGGGATTTAAAGCCTAAGACTATTGGTCAAATCGAATAAAATTTAATTTCGGGATTCAAGCCTAGACTAAATTGCTTTAAGCCTTAAAATTTTTATTGGAATCGGCTATAAATTGAGTGCGAAAATCATACAAAAAGGGGAGGAAAAAGGGGGAGGAGAGTCTGGGTTCTGGGTTGATACTGTTTGGTCGATTTTGTTTAGGGTTAGTTAACATTTGGGTTTCTAAGTTTGGTGAAAAAATAAAATTGTTAGGAATTTTTGAAAAACCTAAAAGAGGGGAACCTTTTGAAAAAATTTAGGGAATTCCTACATAAATCTAGAAAATTATGAAAAAAATATGGGTTTTAGGTTAAAGGTTTGAATTTTTTGATTGAATTTTTTGGTAAACTTTAAAGTTTTTGGCTAAATTTCAGCTAGTTTTCTAGAAACTAGTGATCAAACTCACTTTTCGATGGCTTATTCTGGGGTTTCTAAAGAGAAGATAGAGCAAAAAAATTATAAAGAGAGAAGGCTAAAGGATTTTGAAGAAAAGCTGAAAACCTTAACTTTTATACTAGCATCGAACAATGCCGTTTCATTTAGAGTTACCCATGTCCCAACTCTAGACGATTCGTATGTGACCTGTTTCTAAACCTGACACAATCGCAGGTTTTCCTTTTTTTTTTCTCATTTTATTTTTCAATTACATTTTTATTTATATATATTTATATATTTTTTCTATTTCATTTTATTTGTTTTATTTGTTTTACATTTTTTTAAAATTTATTCTACTTGTTTTTAAATTAAATGATTAATTTTAAATACTTTCATAAATTTTATTTTTAAAAAAGAATAAAAAGTAAAAAATAAATAATAAAAAAATATTTCTAAAAACGAATTCATAAATTCAACCAAACTATTGGAGGTTTCTTCATGAATTTAAATTTTTATGAATTCTACTAAACTATTGGAGAATTTCATAAGTTGATTGCAAAAAAATTATTATCAAAATATTTTGTATTTTTATCCTACTAAACTATTGGATGATTTGCATCTTAAATCTTATCAAACTATTAGAAGATTTAATACACTTTCTAAAAAAAATTTTACAAAGAAATCTCATCAAACTATTGAGAGATCTGCATCAAAGTAAATCTTATCAAACTATTGGAAGATTTTATCGATTATTTTTTTAACTAAAATTTAAATGAATCCAATGATGGAGCCTTTTCAAGGTAAGATACTAGTCTTTATGAATATTTTTGAGGTGAGAAAATTACCTTAAATGGCTACCAAACTATTGGAATAATTTTAAGATTAATTTTTAATATTAAATATTTTGATAAATCATAAATATCGTTAAGGCTTGGATAATTTGAAATTAAACTAATACTATTTTTGGGATGGGCACTGTAAGGATGCTATAACCTTCCTCATGCATAACTATACTTTCAACTCTTAAATATAATTTCGTGGACTAAAATCTACTATTTAACAACACCTAAGTCAATCTTGGGACTCTATTTTAAATAAGACGGATTCAATCAGGTGGCCAATCACACCTAAATAAAAAAAAATTGGTGGTGACTCCTTAAAATCTATACCTAGCTATAGGTCCACAGATCTATACATTATGATAGTTTGACAACACCACTAGAGATACTAAGAGTCAGGTCAGTAAATGATTTCTTATTATCCAAGCTTAACCTAATAAATTTGAGATCTTTTTCTTCTTTCTTTTTTTCTTGCTTATATTTTATTTAGTTATTTATTTATTTATTCATTTTCATATATTTGTCATTCACTTGCATATGTATAACATGAGCTCTACACTCGAGTTTTATCCTTTAGGAGGAAGTAAAGTACCTAAACCTTCATGAAATTTCATGTCTTCGCATGAGTTAGTGAAATACCTCTACTCAAATTTAACCATTTCTACTTGTAACCTATAATGGGTGAGGATTAGAGTGCCTTACAAGTCTATGAAGGACAATAACGTAAGGAATAACTTGAGAACCTTCAGATTTCCAAACCTTTGAACTTGGCATGTAAATAAACCCTAAGGATCTGAACCTAGGTTAGTACCATATCTTTTCTTATGTTAGAAAATCTTAAATATGATGTATGATTGGATGTTTATTTTACTTGTAAGCTTATGTATTATCTTTTTTGTATATATCTATATATTTTACATACTAACCCTATATGTTGGTCTTTGTATCTATATTATCTTTTATGCCTACTAACTATTTTTGTTTACTAAGCATTCACATCATTAGATTTATCATAAAGAATATTTTTCATAAGATAATTTTAACAAGAAAAGTCTCAATTACATATATGAAAAGCCTAGCAAAGTCCTCTACTGGCTTGAAAAGTGAGTATGAAGAGTTGAATCTTACAAAAAAAAAGCTAAAAAGGGAAGTTCAATCACTTGAACAAGAAAATGATGAATGAAAGAGTTTGTTTACTGACCTTAACATAATACAATCATCCATTAATTGAAAACTGGTCTAACTTTTAAAAGAAAATGGATAGTTGCAAGCAAAGCTACAAGAAAATGATGAAATACTCTTTGAAGCACAAAGGCATATCCAAATGCTGAATGGAATGGTAGTGGAAATTAAAGCATAAATCAGGGCTGTGATCGAAAAATGTGAGCAAATGAAGGAAGCATATGTGAGAAAACATGACCAGTTGGAGTCTTTACTTGATCCAATCACTGTGACTATTTATAAAGTTAAGGACATGATAGAAAATTTCAAAAAATGGAAGGCAAGCGTGCCACCAGTGGAAGCACAGGTCAAGAATTGATATATTTTCTTAATGAAGTGCAAAGCCAATATCAACGAGTTGTGGATTTTTTTCCTCAATAAATTTTAAACTTGTCA